CCTTTCCAGCTCTAGATTCTAAGATGTCATGATATAAATATGGGCTAACTGACCTGATGTGAAATATGACTTTCAAATTTTCTGAGCATTATCCTCAAAGTGAGAATTTTAATATTTAAATCTGAATTCAAAAAGAGAAGGGCTTGAGACCATTAAAATACAGGGAAACTTTCTAGCTTTATAAACTATAAAGCCATATGTAACTACCTGTTATTGTCATTTTTGGCCTTGTGCGCAACTGATCATTAATTTTCTAGTAGGCCAATTCAGAAGTATGAGGTTGAGGCTGTGCAGAATAGTGGAAGGGCAATGGATTTGGATTTAGAATTAGATTCAGATGCTGACATTTTCACTTATTGTTTGTGTGACTTTAAGCTAGGCCCTGCTCCATTCTGGACCTTGGATTCTTCATCTGTTGAAATAAGGGATTTGGAGGAGAGCTTCTCTAATGTTCTGCTCAGCTCTGGCATCCTGTAATCAGAATGGTCTAGCCACAGCTGATTCCATTGGATGACTACTAACCAACCAGTGTTCTGTCATCCAATGGAAATCTTCCTGGTTGTTGCTTAGTTCTGCTTGTCTTTCTTTTTTGAGGCCCAGCAGGAACCTACTGGGATCATTTGCATAGTTACATGCAATGCCTTTCCTATAGTTGCTGTTTTCCTCAGTTGTCAATGTGCCAAGAGGTTCGGATTGCTTCTAGAATAAAATACACTCTTCAACTTGGCATTTAAAGCCCTTTTCAATCTGGTTCCAGCCTACCTTTGCAGGCTTATTACATATGAGTTCCCTCCACCCACTCGATGTTCCAGGCAAACTGGCCCTGCTGTTTCCTCATCTTCCATCTTCTGCCTTTGCTCTGTCTGTCCCCCAAGCCGAAGATGCTCCCTGTCTCTCAGCATGCCTGGCTTCTTTCAAAGCTCATCTCATGTGCCACTTCCTAAGAAAAGGCTTTCCCGATTACCCTAGTTGTTAACACTGTCTCCCTCCTCAAATTAACATGCATTTACTCATCTGTGTCCATCCTACCCTAGCAGAATATGAGCCCCTGGAGCTGGAATTGATGTGGGTTTTTGCTTTTGTTCATGTTGTTGTTTGGTTTTGTCTTTTGTCTTTGTATCTCCATTGCCTAGCATGGCGCCCAACACACAGTAGGCTGTTCTGATTGAGTTGGGTTCTGATTCTGGATGCATAGAGCTCTCTCTTCCTGATTTGCAGTCAGAACACTAGAATGCATCATGCTAAAACTCATGGCAGGTGGCTAAGAGAAAAATCTGATTAAAACATCTGATTGGTCATTGTTCTCATGGTCATCATCATCATCACCTTCATCACTGAGATGCCTACTGAAAGTAGGTTTCAAAGAGCTCTTACTCACATTTCCCTATCTGACCTGATCCAAGCTCTTTTGTAAACCTTAAGGTGTGCTATGTAAATGTTAGCTATTATTAGTAGTAGCATTGTTATATAACTGTTATTTTTGAGAGGCAGCGTGGTATAATGAAAATAACTAGTATTCATATAATTGCTTACTATGTATGTGTTTGGTACTCTGCTAAGTGTTAAGAGTTACAAAGAAAAATAAAAATTCGTCTCTGCCCTAAAAGAGCTTACATTCAACTGGAGGCAACATATACATAGAGAATTATATACAGTACAAGATACATAAAAGGAGATCTTATATACAGTACAAGATACATACAGAGGAGATAGAAAGTATCCTTTGAGGGAAATACACTGGCAACTGGGTGTGTGTGTGCTGGGGGGGGGGGAGTAAGGAAACGCCTCCCGTAGAAGGTGGCATTTGAGCTGAGTTTTAAAGGAAACCAGAGGTTGTAAGAGCAAAGGTGAGAGGAAAATATGTTCCAGGCATCGAAAACAGCCAGTGCAAAAGCATGGAGATGGGAGATTGTGTGAGGAACAGAAAGTAGGTCAGTGTGACTGGACTCCAATGAGCATAGTGGGAAGTAATATATAAGAAAACTGGAAAGGCTCAGGAAGGGGTCAAAGCTTTAAAAAATGCTAGGTGGTGTGATGGAATACTATTGTGCTATAAAAAATGATGAACAGGCTGACTTCAGAAAAACCTGGAAAGACTTGTATGGTCTGATGCTGAGTGAAGTGAGTAGAACCAAGAGAACGTTGTACACAATAACAGCCATGTTGTGTGATGACTAATATTGATAAACTTAACCCTTCCTGGCAATACAAGGATCTAAGACATCTCCAGAGGCCTTGTGATGGAAAATGCTATCCACACCCAAAGAAAGAACTATGGAAGCCGAATTATTATTTTTTTCTTTCTCTTCTGTTGAGTTTTATTTCCTCTTTCTGATGGTTCCTCCTATTGATTTTAATTTCTACTTACAACATCACTAATGTGAAAATATGTTTAATATGAATGTAAATGTATAGCCTATATCAAATTGTGAGCCGTCTTGGGGAGGGTGGTGGGGAGGAATGGGGAGAAAAATTTTAAACTCAAAAGCATATGGAAGTAATTATTGATAAATCAAAAAAAATTAATAAAAAAAAATACTGGGTGGAATAGTTTATATCTACTCAGAGGTTACAGGGAGGTATTGGAGGGCAGCTAGGGGGCACCATAGTGCACAGAGTGCCAGACCTGGAGTCAGGAAGACCTAAGTTCAAATCCAGCCTCAGATACTTACTAGCTGCATGACCCTGGGCAAGTCACTTAACCCTGTTTACCTCAATTTCCTCATCTGTAAAGTGGGCTGGAGAAGGAAATGCAAATCATTCCAGTATCTTTGCCAAGAAAACCCCAAATGGGATCATGAAGAGTCACCACAACTGAAAAATGAATATGTGTCAATTACATTTTAATCTGGTTTGGGCTGTACCCAAACATTTACTAGCTGTGTGACCCTGGGCAAGTCATTAAGCCTCTGTTTGCCTCAGTTTCTTCACCTGTAAAATGAGCTGGAAAAGGAAATAGCAAACCATTCTGGTTATCTTCACCAAAAACAAAATAAACAAAAAACCCCAACCAAAATTACGAAGAGTCTGACTCGACTTAACAAGGTTGGAGTTTATTGAATTGGGGGGGGGGGGATGTGGTTAGATCTACGATTTAGGAAAAGCAAGACAGTCCCTGCCCTCAAGGAGTTTACATTCTAAGGCGAGAACTCAACCCAGGAAGACCTAGAAGGGCATGGGGTATAATGACCTCAATGGCATGGTGAGGATGTGATATGGCATGGAGACCTCGTCGGAAGCTAGATAGGACAAAAGCAAGTCAATCAAGAAACATGTATCAAGTGCCTACTATGTGCCAGGCACTGTGCTAAAGTCAAAGAAAGACAAAAGCAGCCCTTACTCCCAGAGTTCAGTGTAATGAGGGAGACAAAAAGCAAACAAGTTATAGACAGGATAAATTGGAGACGATATCAGAGAAAGGGCAAGAACATTAAAGAGAATTGGGAGAGGCTTCTTGCAGAAAGTAGGCCTTTTGCTGAGACTTGAAGGAAGCCAGGAAAGCCAAGAAGTGGAGATGAGGAGGAAAAGGGTTTCAGGTATGGGGGAGAAGCCAGAGAAAATGCAAAGAATGGGGAGATGGAATGTCCTGTACCAGCAACAACAAAATGGCCAGTGTTTTACTGGATTGAAGAGAAAGGTGGTTGTGACTAGAAAAGTTAGAGTGAGTTGGGTTATGAAGGGCTTTAAAATCCAAACAAAGGGTTTTATATTTGATCATGGAGGTTACAAGGATTCACTGGAGTTTGCTGAATGGGGGGAGAGGGGTTGTGATGTGATTAAGGTAAGGAAGATCAACTTGAAAGCCAACTGTAGGATGGAGTGGAGTGGGGAGAAACTTGGGACAAGGAGACCAACCAGCAAGCTATTGCAATAATCCAGGCATATAGTGATGAGGGCCTGCCTGCCCCAGGGTGGTAGCGGTGTCAGATGAGAGAAGGGGGCATATAGGGGAGCTATTGTGAAAGGAGAAGGAGCAGATCTTGGCAACAGGTCAGATAACAGGGATTAGAGAAAGCGAATGTTGAGGATAAGAGTGGAGCTTATCTGAGCTGGGGGACTAGGGTTCTATGTTTTGGGGTGTGTGGTGGGGAGGGTTGGAGGAAATGAGGATGGTGGTGGAAGCAAACAACTATGTTGAGATGGCTGAAAAAAGTCTTGGAAGACTGTTTCCAGGCAAAATAAAACAGAATGTCAGAGCTGGGAGGGCCCTTAGAGCAGAGAAAGTCAGAGCTGGGAGGGGCCCTAAAACAGAGAATGTCAGAGCTGGGAGGGTCCTTAGGATACAGAATGTCAGGTCTGGGAGGTGGCACCTGAGAACATGGAATGGCAGGGCTGGAAGGGACCTAGGAACCCGGTTTGTTAGAGCTACAAGAGACTTTAGAGGTCATTTAGTCCAACCCCCTTAATTTTTCAGATGAGGAAACCGAGGCCCGGGGAAGCCAGGTGACTAGCCTCAGTTTGCCCAGATGGCCAGCTGCAGCAGCACCAGCAAAGAGCCACGTACGCTGGGAGCCCGCTGAGTCTTCTGATTTCAAGCACAGTCCGGACTCCTGGGGACAGTTTTTCCTTCCCAGGCCAGCTCCTAAACCTCTGCTCCGGGCGAGCGCCGTCCCTCCCCCACCCCGAGCTCCACCCGGGCAGCCCTGGGCAGCGCCACAGCCCGGGACTCAGCTAGTCAGTTTCCTCCTTCTTTCCCCTCCCCTCCCATGCTCTCCCCTCTCCTCCCCCGCCCTCGCTCCTCCCCCCTCGCCTCACTTCCCCATTCCGGGCCCCGCCCGCCGGGGCCGCCCCGCGCCGCGCTCCATACTTGGCGATGGCTGAGGAGCCGCGTTCTCATTGGCGGAACGGAGCGGCGCGGGGCGGGGCCTAGCCGAGCTGGGGGCGGGGCGGGGCGGAGGAGGGCTGGGAAGGGGGGGGACAAGGCGAGGCGAGGCCGGGAAGAGGGGGCGGAGGAGGGGGCGGGGGAGCCGGTGACCCGGATGTTCACTCCTAGGCACCCGGGGAAGTGGAAGCGCCGGGCCCTGCTGCCGCCGCCGCCGCCGCCGCCGCCGGAGGAGAGTCAGACACAGCGGGACCGACCGGGACTGGAAGTGGGGCCGCCGCCATGGTAAAGGCCTGCCCTGCCCCTGACCACCGGAGTTCTCCTCCCTGCCCGCCACTGCCCCTCCTGAGGGTGGGCCCCGCCGGGGGCAAGGGACACTGCTGGGGGGAGGGGCTGCTGCCTTCGGCAGGGGGCTTGCTATCGTGGGGAGGGGGCGCACTGGCTGCTGGGGGAGGGGGACTGGAAACCGTCGCGAGGAGGAGCTAGCCAGCTGGAGGGGGAGGGTCTCCCTGACTGGTGGGGGAGGGGCTGAGGAAGGGGGCTGCTGCCCCAGGGAGGGGCGAGTGGGTGGGGAGAGTTAGAAAGACTTGGACTTTGGGGCCCCAGGAGAAGTCGGGGCCGGGCCGGCCTAGGGCTGGGGGGAGTGACCCTGCCCCAACCCCGTCCCCACCCACTTCCTGGGCTCTGGCCCCGACTGGGGGCCATTCTGGGCCCCTTCCCCCAGGCCTTCCTGTTCCTCCTCTCCTGTTCCCCTAATCACCAGCCAGGGGAACTCCCCCGTACCTGTAGCCCCTGCGCCTTCAGCCAGGAGGGCGCACACCGGGTGGCCCAGGCCGTGGTGGGCAAAGCGAGGGGCCAGATTTGGGGGTGGCAGTCCAAGGAGTCAGGGCTTTCAGATATCTGGGGGGGACGTTTTTGGAGGGAGGTAGGGTCATGCAGGCAGCCGGGCTTCTCCAGGCGCCAGCTCTTCCTTCCCCTCCCCAGGCTCAGCCCCATGAGGTGCGCTGGGTGCCCCCCCGGAGTGGCTAGCGACCTGGCTTCCTTCGAGCCGAGCGCCAGGGATGGATGGCTGAGCCTCCCTCGGTCATAGTGGGAGGGGGGAGCTGTCAGCCGGCGGGGATGAGCGCACAATCGGGCCCCTGTCACTCAGGAGCATTTATTGAACGCCCACTGTACAGTCAGCAAACTGTACCAGGCACCATGCAGCCCGTGCAAAGGCGCTGTTTTCTGTCTAACCTGAACAAGCAGGTGGCAAAAATTAGAAGTGCCTCTTTTGGAAAGACTTTGGAAAAGGTGAGCTATGTTCTTGGAGGTTTTGCTAATGAAGCCCCGGAGCCCTCCAAGCCCAACCTTTGGGCTTCACTGACAATCCATACTGTGTTTCTGGGGTGGGGTAGGGGGGAGCAGGTTATGGGACCTTAGGACTGCTTATAGGTGAAGCATGTTAGATGGATTGCCTGATTTAGATGGAAACTTCCACTAGAACCATTCAAACCCATGGTCTCAGGCTTTACTGTCTCACCTAGGACAGTCTTCCATACCAAAAGAGCTGGGAAGATCACCTGTTTTGGTAAGATGTTAGGATTGTTTTTGTTGAATTCAGTAAGATGTTGGAAGCCAGTGGGGCTCAAGCTCTGGTAGGTCGTACTACTGTGATCATGGACTAGGCCTAGGTGACACAGGAGGTTTATAGCTGGAAGAAGGGATATTGGAGGTTGTGATTCCAGCAAACCCCCTTCATTTTCCACATCATTGAAACTTCAGCCCATTGAACTTAAGTGACCTTGTCCAATCACACAGGTGAGCAAGCTGAGATTTGATTCTAGTTCTCCTTGACTCCAGATCTGGTTTTTTCCAGTGTATTTTTTTTTTCTAGTACTAGGTTAGCTAGTATAGGTTCCATGAAGGTCAGAAGGTTAGCCACTAAGGGATGATTTTTTTCCCCCTGTGTAGTATACTTATTAAGGGTTGCAAACTGTAAAGTATTATTGGGGTCATAGAATTAGAGCTGGAAGGGCATTACAGGTTGTCTCATTTTACAGGACGAAATTATAATCAAAGGTTGTGGCTTGCTTAAGGTCACACAACAGAAAGATGGGATTCAAACTTAGTTTCTATCTCTAAATCCAGTGAAAGTTTGGTGAATTCTCATGTTGGATGAAATTTTATTCCTTGGCTTGTAGAATTAAATTCATATACTTCAACTTGCAGAGTTGGAAGGGATCTTAGAGGTCTAGTCTACCCATCTCCAAAACTGAAGGAAGTCTTAGGGCATTCCTGAGAAGTGGCTATCTAATATCTACTTACTGATTTTCAGTGGGGGGCTGGGGACCTCGCTGTCTCCTGAGGCAGCCCCTTTTCAGTCAGCAGTAATCATTGTTAACAGAATTTGCCCTCTTGCATTTTAGTTTTGCATCTAAGAGCCAAGCAAAGCAAGTTTCATCATCCCTATAGAAACATCTTCATTTTCTGGGTATCTCTTTAAACATTAAAACTTGACAGTTGGACTTTTGAGGAAAGCTTGTAGAGTTCTTTGAAATTCCATTTAAATATAACACCTAGAAGTCTTTGCCATTTAGCCATAGAAAGACAATGAGCATCTGTTTATATCTTGAGAGTTTGTTAGTTGTCTTCCTTTTCCCAAACGAGTGAATGATTTAGTAGTATTCTCCCCTACCCCATGTGGCAGCTTAATGACTTTTCTGTTCTGGAGGTAATTTCATGAGGAAACCCAATCTAGAAGAGCTATATGATATGAAGAGAGATATGATATGTTGGGTATAAGACAGTCCAACCCACTCAGTTTAACATGTTGAAGACCCTGAGGCACAGAGAAGTCAAGGGATATTGCCCCCCCCCCCCCCCCCCGGTTAGGCCCAGGTGTCCAGACTTCTTGTTCATTGAGAGTGTTTGCAGTGATGATGGTCACGTATCTAAAATTGGTCTGTTCTTTTGGATACTTCCTGTTTGGGTGTAGGTTTAGGAGCCTTGAGTTTTATACTTGCCCTTTGAGACCTATAGGAACAGTGTAGGCCATAATTCAGTTGAGTTCTTGAAACTTCTTGTTTGGATTCATGGTCTAGACAACAAAAATCAGGCAAATGCTTGACTAATACCATTGGATCCTGTTAAACCAGTTTTCAGAGTTGGGTAAAGGGAGACTTGGTGATCTTAATCTAAAGTCACTTAAAAAATGAATTTGACATGATTGAGTCTTTCTCTCCTGGACATGAAGTAGCTAGAGCCTTGAGTTGAGATCTCCTAGCTCTGCCACTAGTAGCAGGACCTAGATCCATTCCTGGGTGTCATTGTCCTCATCTGTAAGATGAAGGGGTCAGATTATAAACTCTGAACCCCTTTTCAGTACCTGAATTCTGTGAATGTGTTTAGCAAACAGTCATTCATCGATTCTTCAAGGAGGAAAGCTTTCCTAGTACCTTGATATTTCAGCAAATTCTGATTTTGTTTGTAAAGGCCCTCCCTCTCCTGATCTAGATATACCACCTCTCCACACCTCAGTTGGCCAGAAACTCCTTGTTGCCAGCCCTCTTGGGATGAGTTTCTCCTCCATCATGAGTAGATTGGACTTTGATGAGAGACAGAGAATGCTCCAAGCCTTTTCGGTGTGCTAAATACCCTAGGTCAGGCCTCAGTGCCTACAGGTCCTGTAGCCACCACCTGGGTGGGGCATTGAAGGAAAAGAGTGGGCTGAGGGGCAGCTAGGTGGCGCAGTGGATAGAGCCCCGGGCCCCGAAGTCAGAAGGACCTGAGTTCAAATCCAGCCTCAGACCAAACACTTGACACTAGCTATGTGACCCTAGGCAAGTCACTTAACCCCAATTGCCAAAAGAAAAGAGTGGGCTGAGAGAACACAAAAGAGTTTGACCTCCTTGGACTTCTCTCTTTCCTTATCTGTAAAATGAAAGGCTTACACGGGATGGTTCTTTTCAGCTCAGGATCATAAGACTTTGGAAAGACTTTTTAATTTTTATTTTGTGGTAGCAAATTTTCCTTGTTGGATTATGCTCTGTTAATGAAATTAGTTTTCATTCCCAAGGGTGCATACACCCTCAGGGCAGTGGGTGGAGGCAGCCTGGGATCAGTGTAGACAAATTAGGTGCCAGAGAAATCACTGTGGATAATTGGCTCATAGATTTGGAGCTGCAGGAGACATTAGAGGCCATCTTGTCCAACCTTGCTTCATTTTATAGTTGAGGAAAATAGAAGGGGCTTTGCTGGGGTCACAGGTCATGCGTGAGTGAGGAGTTGAGGCTGGATTTCTTCCCAGCCTGGTCCTTGGACTCCAAATCCACTTTGCTCTCCACAGTTGACCCTCATAGGAGTGTTTTGACAGGAAGAGCTGAGTTGTAATATGGTTACAAGTGTACCATTGAGAAGTATGTTCTAATGTGTCCCTCTTGGCCTTTTGGTTTGTATAATGGCGCATACTTCAGCTGCCCCACAATTTGTATGCAGGTAGGCCTCCGTTCCCTTGTGGCCTGTTCTCAGTGTGAACTTGTTTGGGTGGTAAGGCTTTCTTTTGATATCCCTGCTCTCTGGGCCAGGTAGGTGTCTAATCAATCCTTGAAGCCTGGTGGAGATCATATGGGATTGACTGACTTTCAGCCTTGACTGCCAAGGGTGCACTCCTGGACAAAGTCACTTAAACTTTCTGAGTCTCTATTTTCTCCTCTGTGCCATGAAATGCTTGTATCTCATTTAATTTTGAGGCTGAAATGAGAGGATTCGTGTATATAAAGTACTTAACTGTGAAGTTCTTTGGAGGAGCAGATAGATAGCCAGACTTGGGGTTAGGTAGACCTGGGGGGGGTTTCAGATCCTGAGTATTTATTAAACGCTTTCTGTGTACAGTCATCCACTGTGCTAAGGAGATGTTTGCTCTTTTGAACACTGAGACATATCAAATAGTGGAAAGAAAGAGCCCCGGGCTTGAGATCAGAAGCCCTGGCTTTAATTGCTAATAGCTCCCATTTATATAGTACTTTAGTGTTTACCAAGCACTTTGTATATTATTTCACTTGTTTGCACAAACACCCACTGAGAAACACTTCAATGTCTTCTATTGGAAGTTGAGTGCAGACAGTCACTTTTGGTGGGTTCCACAAATGCTGAGTGTGAGAGGCAGGATGTAAGTCTAGGATAGCCTGAATCCAGGACCAGAGTTGTATCCAGTGATGGCTCTGAGACCTTGGGCCAAGGCTCTTACTTAACCTCTTTGGTCCCAAGTTTCTTCCTCTGTAAGATGAGGGGGCTAGAATAGACTA